CAGTGTGCACATGCACAGAGTTGCCAGACGAAGGGAAGAGCTAAAGAACAGGGGTTGGCTTGGGAGTAAGGCCACAGGGGGACGGTGAATGGCCTCTCCCAGAGGAAGTAAAAGAGGAGCCAAAGGAGAATGGAGTTTGCAGGAGACCATTAGTTTGCTTCATTGGTTCGTGACTCTCTGAGACTCCTGGCCAAGTTTTGCGAAATACATTTGCAGTTTAATGTAACTACATCTGGGTTTCAGTTAAAAAAACAACATAACCTCACACACACACACACACACGCACTGCAATCCCATTAAATTCACCAGAAGGGAATTTTTAAACGTTGAGTTTTTAACGATGAAATGGGGTTTTTTTTCTTTTCTTTATTTTCAAATGAAGTAATTTAGATTTTGTCTATTGCTTAGCAGTATTGTTCAAATGGTAGCCACAGTTAGCAACCCTCCCTGTTGAAGAAGGCTAAATTACCGGTAATCTAAATGTTGATGTGGTGCCCATGGAACTGTCATTTGGGATTGATTGATTGGTTGGTCGATTGACTAGATGATATGGAATGATAGCATATTTCCACATTTGGGCTGTTCAATGGTAATCACGGGTAGAAATTCATGCTACAGTAGACCAAATATACCACAGAAAGAGTTGGCAAAACAGCTCAAATTGGATCTGACTCAGAAGGAGGCTCAGCAGAAGCACCTCACTGAGGACTAGGTGCATGGGCTTTCCAAGCAGAGGGAAGATCTGCAGGAGTGCAAGGCCAGGCGCCGGCGCCTGGAGGCTCAGCGGGCTGAGATGGTCAGCCAGTTTCAGGCCATGATGCAGTCCCACTGGAACGAGGCCCTCTGGCTCTTCGCCACCAGCGGCCCTTTCCTCCAGCCTTCTCCCAAAGCCCCCCACCAGGAGGCTAAAGGAGACCCCAAGTAGGAATTTCTGCCCCCCTCCGACCCGCACAAAAACACCCCGAAGGGGGAGACTCTCTGCAGCAACACAAGTGTTCATTGCATGTATCCGTCCCAGGGGCCGTAGTTTGAGGACCCCTGACTTAGTTCCATATAAAAAATGCAAATCATTTTTCTGCGGACCACCAAACTTTTCTCATGGACCCCCCAGTGGTCCATGGACCCCCAGTTGGTCGTCTAGAAGATGGGCTGGCCGAAGTTACTACGAATACTCACCTAGAGAAATGCCATTGGTGAAAATGGAATTTAGCGGATGGTTCCTGACAGGGCTGTGAGATTCTAAGACACTGTCATCCAGCAGGTGGCGCTGTTTCTCTGTTGGGAAGGTGGCGCTTTTACTTTCTACTACACTGAATTGACACATCATACTGGAAAAGGGGGGAAAAAAGAAAGAAAAAAGAAAGAAAGAGGGGGGGAAAAAAGAGGCAACATTTTCTTAGGTCATCTGGTAAACAGCCGTTCATGCTCAGATTTTGCCTGCCTGGACTACGGGGATTCTTAAGGGTCAGGAAGTCCTTAGGCCTGTGATGGCGAACTTGTGACAGCTCCTCTTCTGGTTTCCAGCCAGCTGGTGTCCATGGGCACTGGGGCACCGGAAAACAGCGTAAAAACGGAACGAAAAATGGGCAAAAACTCAGCCGTTTGGGGGGCATTTTTCAGGCCATTTTTTGGTTCAAAAACGGACCGAAAAATGGCCAAAAACCAGGCATCCATGCGCCAGCCAGCTGGTCTTTGGGCTTCCAGAAGACCAGCTAGCCAGCGCACGCATGCAGTTTGGGAACTCAAGTGCCTAAAAAGTTCGCCATCACTGGCTTAGGACAGAGACAGCCGGATGGGTTCTCCTGTCATCTTCTCAGAACTTCATTCTAATGATCCACCTCCCCAAATTGGCTTTTTTTTTCTTTTTTTTTTAAAAGCAGATATTAGTGAAATCTAGACACTTTGACCTCACAGGGTAACAGAAGGGACCTCAGAGGTCCTTTAGTCCAACCAGCAGCTCAGGCAAGAGACCTGCGTACCATTCTGGTGGTGCCATCTCTTCTTCAAAACCTCCAGGAATGGAAGTTCTTTCTTCTTCTTCTAACACTTCTACAAAGGCTGCTTTGCCAGAGATGCACATTGCGAGACTCCGCAATGGTGAATTCATCCCTGGGTTAATAGGAATTCGCAATGATATCCATCAGGATAGAGTTGGAAGGGACCTGGGAGGACTTCTAGTCCAGCCCCCTGCTCAAGTAGGACATTCTATGCATGTCCAGTCTCTTCTTAAAAACTTCCAGGGATGAAGCCCCCACAACTTCTAGTGGCAAGCCGCTCCACTGGTTAAATGCTGGAAAAGCAATGTGTCTTCCTGCTTCTAACACTAAGCTGAACACGCAAATTCCTAACCGAAAGGTTGATTTCCTTTAGGCCAATTTGGCACCCATAAGATAGGAAGAACCATCCTTGACTTGAGTGGTAATGAAGATTAAAATTAAAAATTCTTTCTGGAATCTGCTAACTTGGGAAAAATGTGGCACCATCGCAGAACTTCCACAAGAATTTCTACCTAAGTGGGAATTCTAAGACCAATGTGTTACTAAGGAACCAGAATCCTTGCAAAGCAACTACAGGCAGTCCTCGTTCTTACAACCGCGATTGAGCCCCTAAATTTCAGCCGCTACGTTGAGACTTTTGCTGAGTGAGTTACGCCCCCATTTCACGACCTTCCTTGTCACGGTGGGGGAAGCGAGTCACTGTTGCTAAGTGAACCTGGCTTCCCCCGTTGATTTTGCGGGTCGGAAGACGCAAAAGGGACATTGGGCATGGCAACGATTGCAAGTATGAGCCAATCATCTGATCACGGGGACGCTACAAAGGTTAAAAGGTAAAGGTTCCCCTCGCACATCTGTGCTAGTCGTTCCCGACTCTAGGGGGCGGTGCTCATCTCCGTTTCAAAGCCGAAGAGCCAGCGCTGTCCGAAGACGTCTCCGTGGTCATGTGGCCGGCATGACTCAACGGCCGAAGGCACACGGAACGCTGTTCCCTTCCCACCAAAGGTGGTTCCTATTTTTCTACTTGCATTTTTTACATGCTTTCCATTTTTTACGTGCTTTCGAACTG